GGAGAAGGCAGTCCTGCCTCCCTGCCGCCCTGCGCAGCGGCTGCAGGGTCCCAGGCACGGCCGCACACCCTGCCACCGCTTGCCAGGTTTCGTGTTGGCAGGGTGGGAGCGCTGGCTGCCCACAAGGGTGCTGATGCCGAGAGTGGCAGGGGACAGCCCACCCCACTGGGACCCTTTAGCTCGGCTTAACCTGAACACACCACCTCACCCTGGGCCACAAACAATCGTGCTCGACCAGCCGGCACCTATTTGCTTTACCTGCATAAGGAGAGCCAGGCCAGGGGCGGCCAGCCTGCTCCCATGCTTCCCTGGGGAGCCCTGGCGTGGTGACAGCCCTGTGACACTGCTCCCGTCCCCGAGCCACCTGGGCGAGCCGAGCGGAGCCGCAGCAGCCCCGGCCCCAGGGCTGGACGGGAGGAGTGTGGGGCCAGCGGCACAGCAGGAAGGAAACGGCTTGCGCCGGGGGGAAGGAGGCGTCAGCCGCTCCCCGCAGGGCTCGACGGCGAGGCCATCCTGCAAGGAACTTGCCGGAGCCGGGTTACCCAGCATCTGAAAAACCAGACTGGAATGGGAAATATGACCGAGGCAACGCCCATGGCATGAGCCAGCCAGGGCGGAGCGGGTGGCCGGGGATGCCGCCCTGCTGTGCCGGCCCCAGCGGGGCGAGGACGCCGTCCGAGGGGGAGCACTGCCCTGCCGGGACTCCCTCGGCAGCCACAGGAGCGTGGTTACTGCCCTGGCATGATCAGCCACAAGAAGCTGATGGGAGCAAAGCAGCGGTGACGTGCCTCGAGGGGCGATGGCTTTGTTGGACGCAGCAGTAAGAGCACCTGCCCAAGGATGGAGCTGGGGAACTCCTGACATGGCTGCAATGCCAGCCCAAAGGCTGCCCGGCCAGGCATTTCGCTGCTTCAGAAAGGGCCTGGACAAGGACTGAATCCCTGCTGCCACCTGCAAGGGAGAAAGGACAACATCTGTGTCCCCAAGGCCACAGCCAGGTAAAGCCCTCGCTGCCCAGCCATGTGCGGTCTCTCCCATGGCCACATGTCTCTCCCTAATCCCATACGGCCTGGGAACCATTCTCATGGGGTGGCTTTACCCTGGCCTCCCACCCAGCCAGGGGACATTGCTGTGCGTTGGCTTCTCCCCCAAAGGGCTGCCTGGGCGTTAATGCTTCTGCCTCTTCCCATCCCTGCCTCCTCCTGCCACGTTGCTGCCCAGCTTATCCATCCGCAACCGCTCCCGAGTGCTGCAGCATCCCTCCAGCGCACGGACGAGGGAGAGCCGTTTGATGCTCTTGGCTCGCGGCCCCCAGCACAGCCCCGCGAGCTGCACCCAGGCTCTCCGCAGGCAGGATGGGACGTGGGGAGGGAGGGCAGCGGGGCAGGCTGGCCCCCACGCTGCCCTGCCCAGCCCACAGCAGCCCCCGCACCTCAGCCAGGGGGGCCGGCTCGCACCCCCTGAAATGGACCCAGAGGGAAGGGCTGTGCCAGAGAGCTCGTCCTGGCCTGTGGGGGGGGGTTGGCTGTAGACACAGACACTGCCTGTGGCCTGCGTGAGTCACTGAGAGGCTCAGAATCCTCTTTACTGTGATTCTTTTTGGGCACTGCGGGTCAGCCTGGAAAAACCCAGGTACCGCCATCCCCTCCCTGCAGCCAGGTGGAGGACGCGCTCCCAGCTGCGGGAGCTGGCTGCGGATCAGCCTCTCTCTTCTCAATAGCTTGTTTATAAGTATGCAAACACCTCACGAGTGAAAAAACAACTTCATGCCAAATAGCCACTAGCTCCTAATGCCCCAATCTGGGCAACCACTTGCTCGGTTATATATTTTTGTTCCTGTTTGCTCCGAACCCTCTTCCATGGCTGAACAGCTGGGAAGCGATGGCAGAGGGGCATGGGCCGGGGTCGTGCCTGCCAGCAGGGTAACGGGGGGGGGAAGCCTGTGCATTCATGGATGGGCTGTGGGAGCACCAACCGGGCTCCCCTGGCTGGTGCTGAGGTGGCAACGCACTGGAGCGGTAGCAAGGCCGTAAAAAGACACAGAGGACTTGTCCCTGTTTGTTTATGGCAGGGGGGGGGCGGGGGGG